TTTTGGATCAGAAAGGCTGCCAAGGGAAAATGCTCGGGGTGCACTGGGGTCAACGGGGGTTGGTGGCCAGTGTCTTGTTTCCACTGTGGTGATCCTGCTGCTGCATCACAGGAACCCCGTCCCCAGAAGACCTCTGTCTCGTGATTGTGGGGGAATTCAATGCTTGTCTAGATGTAGATTGGAGTTTGCAAGTCATTTATGCAGGAGATGTCTGTCAGCAAGCATTCATTGTGGAAACTTGGCATGGAACCTCCAGCTTCAGAGGCAGTCTACTTGAGAACATCAGCTGCCCGGGGAAAAACATCTTGACAAGAGTGAAAAATGCTTTGATACTCCACAGGGGAGGCATCCAGGAGCCCCTGCCAGAGACAGCAGACTGGCATCTGGCCAGAGCTTAAACCATCATCCAAAAGGCAGAGTAGAACAGAAAGGTTTATGTTTCGCTCCCTTTGCTTGGTTCTGAAGGAATATCACTTAAGCACTTTTGGTTTGAGCAAACGAGATTCCTCCAAACTAGGGTGACTGCTGTTGTGTTTAAGGGTCTGAAGCACTGAATGGGTTGTTTGAGTCTTTCTTGACAGACAGCTTGCCCTTCTGCACTTACTGTGTTTGCAAGCTTTCTCAAAGGGAAATTACACCAGAGGTGTTTTCTGCACATTATAGTAACCTGGGGTCTGGGGCAGGAAGGGGAGGGGAGGAGAGAAAGAAGGGGAAGGGGGAAAATGGGGATCCCGATTTCCTTGGTAACCTTTCCCAACCTTCCTTTGTAGCCTCTCTGACGGCTCTACTGAGACCATCTCCGTCGTGGTGGTCGACGCCAGCGAGGGGCCCCCTTCCCCCGATTTTGAGGTCGGCCCCTTCGGCTCCTCGCAGTCGGATGAGGCGTCCATCAGCACCACAGCCTCCTCGACCACTCCCACCCTGGAAGGGGGCGAGGCCCTCCCTGTCGGCACCACCGAGCCAGGGCTGAAACCCGACTCGGGGTCCTGCCGCTCGTCCTCCATTGACAGCGCCTACGGGACACTTTCGCCCACCTCCATCCAGGAGTTTGCGGAGCAGCAGCGAGGAGAGCTGCCGGCACCACCAGCGCCAGCTGTGGCGGCTGGCATGGGGCAGGACGGGGAGGAAGGCCCGGCGGCCCCTTCCCAAAGGGCAGGCTCCCCGAAGCTGCGCCGGCAAACGCCCGTCCAGCTGCTGCCAGCCAAATCCAAGGTCTTGAAGTCCAAGTCGGAGGCCAACCTCCTGCAGCTGGCTCCGGCTTGCCTGCAGCCCATGAGCCAGAGCCAGAGCCTCTCCGAACTCGGCCCGGCCGCCTTCCTCCTGGGCGCCCCACGGACGAACGGGCCCCAGAGCTCGGGGTTCGAAAAAACAGGGCACCCCCGCGGCTCTGACCACAGCAGCAGCGGCAGCAGCAGCGGCTCGGAGCTCTCCGAGACCGAGGACCTGGCCTTGCCCGGGCGGTGTATTTCTCCAGCTTCGGTGCAAGCTGACCCAGACGGGCTGCGGACCCCGTCCCGTTGGCTCTCCGGAGAGCCGCGCCACCACCAAGGGGAAGAGCTGCCCACCCCCCAACGGACGCTTTCGGACCCTCAGGCGATCCAGCACCGCAAACTGACGCTGGCGCAGCTCTACCGGATCCGGACCACCCTACTGCTCAACTCCACACTCACAGCCTCGTGAGTGGCGCTGCGGCCTAGAGAGGGTGTGGATGTCGGGGTGGGGTGTGGTGGGGTGCCAGAGGAGAGAAAGTGTGGTGGGCTCGGTATTGGCTTCAGTGGCTGGGGCATGGTGCTGCCCGGGTTTTGGTGAACGGCATGAATGTGACAGCTGCTCAAGAGGCCCTGCCCTTCATTTCCGCTGTGGGAAATTTCCACCGCCTTCCACATCTTGTTCCCCATCCCCGTTCCCCATCTGTAGCCTGGGGTGGTGGTGGTTTTGGTCTCTGGTGGTTTGTTTGTTTTTTGTTTTTTTGAATGAAGGCAGAAATGGACCTTAAAGATGCTGCCTCCTGAGCAGCCGAGAGCATTTTAGTGTTGGAGAGACATGATTCTGGCAGACGTTCGGGTTTGAGAAGCCAGACTTTAAAGGAATCTGATGCTTATGTCCTAGAGACCCATCATTGGGCGAAAGAGGGTAATCTGCAAACTCCAGGATGTGAAAGAAGCTGTCATTGTGACATCCACAGTCAGCCTCTAGAGATTTTCCTTTAAAAAAAAAAATCATGGGTCATCTATAATGTCTCTTTCTGCCTCGCTGTGACATTCACACGTAATCAGTCCCTACGGATTTTCCTTTCTACCGATAAGCTACCTATAATGTCTGTCTCTCCACCCGAGAAACTTAACAAAAGTGGGGAATATTGCAGTTAAGTAACCAGTTTTGTCTGGTTGTCTGTCTGTCTGTTGCAGGGAGGTATGAGGCCGTCAAGAAGAAGGCAAGACGAGTCACCGGTCCGCCACCTCTAGCGTCAGGGATTCCTCCTGTATTTCAATGAACTGGCCCCAGAGACGTTCACCTGCTCGCGGGGTGGTGCTCTTCCACCAGCAGGGAGGGTGGATCAGGGCACAAGACGGACCATCTCATGAGCAGAGAACCCGCAGAGAGGACCCTGCCGGTCATGAACTTCCACGTGGGCAGGCTGGACGTGCATCGATGCGTGCCGATGTGTGTTTGCGTGTCAGATGTCTGTGTTTCTGTGGCCGCCATGCACATCGGGGTCTGGGTGCGTGGAGGACGTGAGAGGCAACAGTGCGACGGGGAGACGAAAAAGGTCTGGCGTCCATCCAGCAAGGGTTCTTGGAGAGGCCGAGGTTGCGTCGGCCTCCCCTTTCGGGCACTAAGCGGAAGGCTCCGAGGCTTTTTCAAGGCCCTGTGGTTGAAGAGGCGCCGTAGATTCGCCTACCTTTGAGAAGGACCTCTGGGGGCGGAGGTGATGGGTTGGGGGGGTCCTTCCCCAAAGAGTGCACTTTTGGAATGCGGCCGCAGCATCCCGTGTCCGCCCCGCTGGACCTCGATCCGCCGGTGGTTGCGAGTCACAACAGAGCCCTCCCCTCCGATTCAGTCATAAACCAAAGGACATGTCCCGCTGGAGCCCTGCTTGTGAGGAACGGGAGTTGCGCACGGCCACCGACGCTCTCCAAGGCTCAGGTTGGTCCGTTCCCGCTTGGCCGCCTCCCTTCCTGGCTGCCCTTCCAGCCTTCTTCTTGGCTGGATGCTTCAGATCATTGAAGGATGCCTTCGGAAGGAGGCCACAGGTCCACCCCCAGCCTGAGGAGGTCCTTCCGCCCCCCTGACCCACTCACCCCCACCTAGAGAGGTGGGCAGTTGTAGGGGGCAACCATCCTGTGGGGTCCTGTGCTCTACACATCAGATGGTGGAGCGAATTCAGCCTTTGCAACTGAGCTGTTTTGTGGTTGCAAACCTACCTGGCCGCCAAATTCAGGAAGATATGGGAAGGTGTCTTTTTTCCTATCTGAAGTGTATGCAAAACAAAACAACAACAACAAACCAAAAAAACAGGGAGTAGGGGGGGAAATATCCAAAACAAAACCTTCAGATGTCCTAATGTGGAGTTTTTCTGAGGAGGGCATCTGGCCACGTGGTAGGGCTTGCCGGTCGCTTCCAGGAGCATAAGCTGAGCCACCAAGCTGAGGACCAGGAAGATGAGAGAGAGAGAGAGAGAGAGTTTTCACTTCTGGCCAGTTTGGTGTGGTTCCAGGACCAGTATGGCATGCCCCCCCCATCAAGTCTGCAAAGGCTCTCTGCACTCGGAGATCTCTGTGGCTGAGGAAAGGAAGGTGGAACGAGAACGTTGGGAAGGAAAGGAGGAGGGGACGGTGTGGTTGACGGGCCAGGAATTAGGGCGACCTTGGTCTGAGGAGGGAGGGCAGAGAGCACTTGGCTGCCTCCCAGCCAAGAGGGACAAGGGTCAGGAAGGAGCAGAAAGGGGAGAGATGAAGGGAAAGCCAGCCTCGCTGTGGTGCCAGCCGGGCATTTGAGAAAAGAAAACAGAGGAAGGGGAGAACGAGCCACATGGTTCATGTAACACACACACACAGAGGGAAGTTGGGTCTTCAAGTTCAGGGTGGGTAGCTGACGATTTCTAAATGAGCTGGCACTGCCAGCCCAGATGGGTGATGTCAGTAGAGGGTTTGAAATGGAAGTCAGATGCCAGGGTGGGAAAGGAAGTGGCCCTTTTAAAATCCCAACTCCTGGGGAAGGCACCTTTCTTGCTGAGGAAGTGACCCACCTCTTTCCAAGCCAGGTGCTTGACTTTGCCCTGGTGGCAAATGGACCCCTCTCCCCACCCCACCACCACCACTCACCAGCTCCATTCATGCGTTGACAAGACGTGGCATGGACTCAGGTCCCTCTCCCATTTCCCTGACCCCCCACCGCCGACCCCACAAGGGAAAAATCAGAGCCCAGGTTGTCTTTCCTACTGGTTAACAAGATGGTCAACTTCTTCCTCGTTAAATCCAAAGTATGTCCATGGGTGTTAGTGGCTGTACAGTGGCGAACGGAGCTATAAGAAGTCTATTGGAGGGGGGTGGTTCGTTAATTTTGTATATTCTCTTCCCCACCCCTTCCCAGTTTGAATTCCCGGCGAAAGATTTAGCCAGCTGACCTGTTTTTGTGTGGTTTTAAGGTTGCGTATTTATTAAACTGAATCCTGCCCCTTACCTTCCAAGCCCACCTCCCCATGTTTATACATATTTTCTCCTTGGAGGCTTTCCAAGTCCGGTTCATTTTATACCATGTTGTGTAATGATGTCTGTGCGCCCCCACATCCTCTCTCCTTCCCTACCCCAGTATGGTCCAAGTTGCCCATTTCAGTAGCCCCTCTTAATTGCTAATATTTCTGCTCCACGCTGTCACCGTAATGGATCAACCATTAAACATAGACCAGATCTCTCAGTGGGTGTTCTCTGTTTTCCCTGGGGGGGGTGTCTCTGTTCATGTGTGTGTGTGTGTGTGTGTGTGTGTGTGTGAGAGAGAGAGAGAGAGAGAGAGAATAGCCTGTTTGAAGTAACCAAGTCCGTGGGTATAAAAATCTATCAGTTTCCCTGTGGTTCTGTTTTCCATAAAGTGTGCATAGATAGATCGAAACAACTGAGCTATCCAGCAGTGCTTCACTGTAATTCTGGATGGACGGACAAACCGTGGAGGGTGAATCGGCCCTGGGGGTGCGCAGGAAGGATGGGGTCGTCCTCTGCCCAGCTAACACTCAGCATCTCCTGAGTGGGGGGGTGGGCGGGAAAGCCCAAGCCTCAAAGTGTTACTCAGCCCCAGGATTCCCTGCTTGATGGGCTGCCTCGCTCTGTATGGCTGGGTTCTTCAAAACACACTTCCTTCCTTCCTCCCACCGTGTTGGCTTTGCCTTAAAAGCTTCGTCGGGGTGGCTTCGCCTTCATTTCGCTGCTCTGGGTGCTGATCGCCCGGGCTGTGCCCATCCGGTCTTCCGTTTGGGGTGGCCTGGACACTCCAGGCTGAGCCTCTGAGCTTTCCTCAAAAAAGAGAGAGAAAGAGAGAAAGCTCCGATAATGCTTCCCCCCCTCCCTTGGGGGCACTTTGGAAACCTACGGCCTCTTCTCCGTCCGGGTCTTAAGTGATGGGGTGCTGGCAGCTCTTGGCTCCTGCTGTGGTAAGTTCTCCTCCATACGCCTGCAAGACGTAGAACGGGAGAAAGGCAGAACGTGGGGAGAAGCTGTGGGGCAGGTTGTTTTACTGAAAATGGGGAATCGGATGACACCTGGCCTCTGACCCACACCTTTGGCCCCAGACAGCTGCTGAGGATGCCTGATGTGTCCCTTCTGAATGATCACAGTGGCTGTTTGCGGCTCGAGACAGAATCCTTTCCTAGCCATAGCCCCAGCTGCGTTATTTTGGGTGCGAGTCTTCCGTCCAATTCATGAACCGGCTCCCAACCCTTGTTTAGATTCTGAAGTTAGGTGAGATCCTGTGGGATCCGATGTCGCAGCCCTCACTTCCATGTGGCTCCTTGGCATTTAAAGCCCGGGTGACAAGCTGACGTTCAACCGGTGCAGCACTTCCAACATGGAGGTGCATTTAAAGCAGAATTCTCTTCTGCACAAGGAGCAATGGTGGCGAATAACCTAGAATTAAGATTCCTCTTGCTGGCTGATCCAGAGATGGAAATGTTGCCAACCTCTGGGGATGACAGCGCCCAGATCTCATCCACCCTAGGGGAGGAGATTGTTGAAATTGTCAGATGCAAATTTTGGGGAGGGGTGGAGTAGAACTGGTAAGGTCACTCCTCAAATGTCTCCTTCACCTTGAACGCCCTGTTAGGGTCCCATAATAAATAGGTCTTCCTGTTATTGCTGTTATTACTTGCCATCAAGACACCTTTGACTCATGCTGAATGAGCGCTCTCCAAAATATCCCCTCTCCAGAAGCCCTGCTCAGCAATTGCAAACTCCAGCTGGTGGCTTCCTAAAGTGAGTCAGTCCATCTTGTATTGGGTCTTCCTCTTTTCCTGCTGCCTTCATGTTTTCCCAGCATTACTGTCTTTTCTGGAGAATCCCACCTTTTCATGATGTGTCCAAAGCAGGACAGCCTCAGTTTTGTATTTTTACCTCCAGTGATGGTTCAGAATTGATTTGACCTACAGGTGTGCTATTGAATCTGCCAGCAGGACATTAACTCAGGTAGAGCAACTGAGGCTTTGCCCGCAGGTACCAAAACCTGCAGGGTGCCAACATCTAGAGGAAAACAGGCTGCTGAATGTTCGACTAGGGGCAGAGAATCAGCAACACTCCTATATGGGCCTCCTAGCTCAAACGGCCCTGTCTGGATTCTCCTTCTTGGTTGTCGGAGTGCGCATGGGGAATCTCAACACCTCTCCCACATCTCTTTACATAAATCAAACCTTGTTAAGATGCCATCAGCCAGCGTAGGAAATGATATCTTTACCAATCTGGGAGATGTTTGACTTCTTCAAAACACACAGAGGAAAAGACACGTGTCAGAAAGATCTATGGATCCATCCATTCTCTGAATGCCTCTGGTCTGGTGCATCCCTAATTAATGTCAGAAGAAGGGGTTACATGAAAAGGAAACACTTATCTGAGGTTACAGGGATTTCCAGGGAATTTTGAGAAGCGGGGGGGGCATTATAAGGAAGGAGGGGAGAGGAGGCCCTGAGCAGAGAGAGATCATAGCCAGAATAAAGATCCAGGCAGGAGAGAAACTGCTGCAAGATCATCTAGATTGATTTCATGGCTCAATGGGGACTAGGAACTTGATGCACCTGTTTCATTCTACCTCCACCTACATAGCCTGCCAGCCAGGGGGAACCTTTCATGAAGCTGATGGTCTGATTTCTGCAAGTAACAGTGAGAGGATAGTCTTTTTAGATGCAATAAGAGGTCTTCATGCTTATTATACCTATCACATAATCGTGATCCATCACAGTTTCACAAACAAAGTGTGTAAGTGCATATGTGTTAGAAAGAGGCCGACCTTTATAACATTTTGACCCAGATTCCAACAGCTTTCCCAAGGCAGATGGAAAGTTAGGCACCCATCTGTTTATTTCACTTCTATTCAATTTTGTGTTAAAAAACAACAACACACATACGCTTATCCAGCTAAAGCCAATTAAAAACCAGGTGAAAACCTGCTACATCGGCCCTGTTGTGAGGGATTTTGCCTTCCTGCCAGTGTAATGGGCAATGCAGAGCCACCCACCCTGACAGCTTCTATTCAACTTTGTGTAAAGAAAACAACACACACGCTCATCCAGCTAAAGCCAATTAAAAACCTGGTGAAAACCTGCTACATCTGCCCTGTTGTGAGGGATTTTGCCTTCTTGTCGGTGTGATGGGCAATGCAGAGCCACCCACCCTGACAAAACCTTTGGCCGTGCATGGACCCAAACGATGTGACATAGCTGGTCCCCGCCGGGTGCCCTTGCCTCTCCTGTCCGCCTTGGGTGAGCCAGGCATGGGCTAGGCTTAGATCAGGGAAGCAATCTGCGCAGCATCAGCAGCTGGGGAAGCGAAAAGGTTGTAAGCGTGGGCGGAGATGTGATATTCAGGAAGACAAAGGGAGGATGACGTTGTGGAGTGATGATAATAATGTGCTGATAAACATTTCTTTGGGCGTGGGGAGGATGTGGTTGGGCAGCCTAATCAGGAGGCAGCACATGGCCTTGGGGCCTCGCTTGATGAAAAGCTGATCCTGTATCTAGAGGCAGTGCTCCCTCAAATGGCAAAAGGGGTTTCGTTGAAAAGGTACATTGATAGCCTAACTGGAATAGGTTATTGGAACGTGAACAGAGCCTTCCTTTTCCAGTTTTGTTTGTATAACAAAGGAATTTTTTTTGCTGAAAGGAAAATGGTGTTAAATATTCATTCCTTTTTTAAAAAGTCCTCTGCTGGGTTGTAAGTCATATCACAGTTCCTGAGAAAAAGTTGGGTTATGCCAGGAGAGAGAACACGCTTAGGATGTTGATGTCACTCAATATGGAATAACTTTTGTGTGTATTTATTTTTCCTCTTCTTTCCTTTTGCCCAGCTGGCCAGGCGTTGTCTCATTGGCAACCCCAAGGGGCTCTTCTCCTATCCTAAGAGAAGAAGGGGCACATCTCTTTCAATGTCCTCCAATCTGATCTATTTCCCGTAAGCACTCTGATTTTGAACAGGTAGCAAGTCCGCACCAGGATTTAGTCCAAATTTTAAACAGAGCGGGGGTGGTGGTGTTTGCACATATTTCGTGGAATACTAGAATCATGGTGTATGAAGGGACCCATAAGGCCATCAAGCCCAGCCCCTTGCTCAAGGCAGGAATCCCAATCATGCCTATCTGACAGACCGGAGAGCTCCTATAAAGTTTGGACTAAAAGCCAAAGCGGACCAAGCACCCCCTTCCCCATAAAACTGGAATTGTCAGCTCCCTGGCCTGTCCCCCAGTTTTTCCTGCTTCTGAGCCCGACATACCCGCTGTCAGCTGTGAAAACTTTCAGCAAAGATCTAAACCACAACGTGTTGTTTCAGTTCAGGGTAGAATGAATAAGGGCAATATTAAATGAGAATTCCCCTGCTTGGGGGGGTGTGTGCTTGTTTGTTTGTTTGAGCAGGGGGTTTCAGAGTGGCTAGATCAGCAGGGCCATCGTTTCCCTACCCCTGGCAATCTCACGGGAACTGGTACGAGTCCAGAACTGGTGTGACCCACATGGCACCAAAACATGGGGGGGGGAGAGAGAAGTCTTTGGGAACTAGGAAACTCAGAATCCTCCAGGCATCATTAGCCATTCTGGGTGCTCTGATGGAGAAGAAAGCAGCACCCCTTGAACTCCTAGTGGGACCGGGGAGATTAAGAGCAGCTCCACCCTTTATGCTTCGCGGGGGCTCAGCGTGCACACCGCCCAAGCGTTGCTAAAATTCTCTCCGCTGCAACCACACCGCCAGACTGACGCTTCATGGGATGTTCACTTATCTCACCGTGGGGACGTGGGCGGCTGCTTTTGCCAGCCGCCGGGTATTTCCCCTTGCGATATCAGATCGAGAAGACAGGCCCGAGCAGCTCCAGAAAGAGAAACTGTGTTGTTTCAGTTCAGGATAGAATAAATAAGGGCAGTGTTAAATTAGAAGTCACCTGCTTTGGGGGGGGGGGGTGTTTGTTTGTTTGAGCAGGGGGTTTCAGAGTGGCTAGATCAGCAGGGCCATCGTTTCCCTACCCCTGGCAATCTCACGGGAACTGGTACGAGTCCAGAACTGGTGTGACCCACATGGCACCAAAACATGGGGGGGGGAGAGAGAAGTCTTTGGGAACTAGGAAACTCAGAATCCTCCAGGCATCATTAGCCATTCTGGGTGCTCTGATGGAGAAGAAAGCAGCACCCCTTGAACTCCTAGTGGGACCGGGGAGATTAAGAGCAGCTCCACCCT